ACATAAGAAAAACACTAATATGTTAATCACGGCTAGGGGTTAATCTAAGAAAATCTAATACCGGGATACGGAATTTAATTTAAATTTAAATTTATTATTACTTAAAAAATAGAAACAACATCCATGGTCGCAATGAAAATTAAGTAATTAACTGTATACGGAATTTAATTTGAAATTAGTTTTACTATTACTCTAAAATAGAAACACAATCCACGGTCGCAATAAAAATTAAGTAATTAATAAAATAGAAACAAAATTTCTATTTCCTAATAACCAAAACTAATTTCCAATGTTTTTAAATAAAATCAAAACTAAATAATTTATCTGAAAATCAAAATATTTTTAACGAAAATGTAAAGTCAATTATTATTTCTATTAAATAAAATCGAAATCGGAATAATATAATCAAATAAAACTGGTATTCGGACGTTTAGCTCAAGAACCGACGACAGAAAAAAAAACGTAAACATGAATTCGGTGTACCTAACTACGGTCTCGGCAATGATTTTACGGCGTATAACGAAGCAGACTTAACGAGGTCGGAAAAATGGAATCAAGCTAGTCGAATGATTTTGAATGAATTATTTTAATACCCAATGTCGAATCCCAGTCTCTATGCCCAAGCAGGCTATCTCCCCACTCGGTGTGCGCGGTTCGCGAGCGCTATCGTTAGTCAGGTATAATACGCGAATTTAAATAAAACAAAATTTGATATACAGGGTCTACCCATGAAGTTAAAATAAAATAAAAATTAAAATTTATATCCGGAATAGGCCGAAATATAGTAATGAAAATTGACTTCATTACAATGTTATTTTGTCCGCCAGAGCGGTCATTTTGGCCGATTTTGTTTGTGCGAAGCTGTTTTAGAAAACACCTTTCTAGTAAAAATCACTTTGGCTCCAGAGAAAAAATTATTATTTTTGGCTTGGCAGTCAACCTGTTTTAATTCAATACTGGACTTTATAGGGGAAGGGATATACACATTTATGACAGAAAATTTGAAAAAGTTTAATTTAAATAAAAAAAATATTCGGGGACAAAAATATGATAATGGGGCAAACATGAAGGGAAAGCATGTTGGGCTTCAGAAACGTATTCTTGATGCGAATCCGAGAGCCCTTTTTGTACCTTGTGCGGCTCATACTTTGAACTTAACACTAAAACTGACGCTTCTAAGGTGTCAGATGCTACAATGGTCATTTTTATATTTTATAAAACATATGTTATTTACGTTTGGAGAAGAAAATTTTTTAAATAAATTTTTCTAAAATGGTTGGTATTCGAGAAATTTTACAAAATGTAAAAAATCAAATATTTATAAAAATTGTTCATAAGTAAAAGTTGTAATATATTTTCCATAATTTTTATTCTTTACATAATTTCTCTACAATGGACCGTTTTCGAGATAATTGATAAAATGTGTAAATTTCGAATTTTAAAGAAAACTCGAAAACAGTAAAAGAAAAAAACATTAAATTTTAAATTTAAGTTTTATTTCGGCCTAACGTAACATGATTAGATTTTGGACGATTTAGGTATGTGGAAAATGTATATGTTTAGTTTATCCTCTAAACATTTAGAGAGGTGCTGCAATAGGTTGTACAAAATAATTGGAAAAAGCCTGTAATAACTAGAGAGAAAAGTCATCTGTTAAACTTATCAGACTTTTAGTCTTGTGCAAGAGTTATATAATTTTATTCGTCATCCACAAAAAGATTAAATGTTATGAGAAACATGTCCCCGGGTTAAGTTTAAAGCCTCTAAGTGAGACAAGATGGTCTGGTAGAATTCCTTTTACATTGATGCAAGACATAAAGCGAGTTCCCTCTTAACGTGTGTACAACATTTTCAGTTTATTTGTGGAATTATTATTTGGCATGACGTTTGATTTCATATAAATATTGTCAGCAAACAAATGCACTCTCTCTCGAAATTGAAAAAGATTTTCCACCGTTATCAACGGTCAAGAGAAAATTTAAACTAAATCTGTTTGACTATGAACGCCGAGATAAGACCCCTCATGATCCAAAAACCGTCTTTAAAATTAGTTTTTTCTTTAAATTATAGATTAAACTTTAGGCGCTCTATCTGACTGGATTCGGGAACAACATATCAACTATTGGGGAAGCACCCCAAAACAGGCACATGGAAAAGCCTTCATAGGCAGACCATGTCCCAAAAGAACTGGAGAACTACTCTTAATGAATAGGAACCAGTTGAAAGTGATAACAGGGTTCATGACTGGGCACGCCCCAGTAAAGGGACACTTGAACAAAATTGGCATGTACAATTACGAACTCATGTGCCGACTATGTCACAAGAAACCAGAAACGGCCAAACACATACTGTGCGAATGCGAAGCTCTAGATCGCAAAAGACAGGCTCTTTTTGGACAACCCCAGGTTGATCCAATAACGTATAGAACCCACTCACCCAAGGATCTGTACAAACTTGTACAAGGTACAAAGGTGATAGAGTGGGTGCTATGAACTAACATGGGGTAAAACACAATAAGCCAATAGGCTTCAGTGTTATTCGGAGACACATAGTCAGACGAGCCCAGGAGAGAAAAAAAAGCGCTCTATGTTATGTTATGTTTGGAATGGGTTGTTAATACACTGCGACCTAAAAGATTTATTGTGTCCCCTTCTATCGCCTATTGTTACGGGTTTTATTCTATCTAAACCTAGACTAGTCTAAATTACCCTAGTTTACACTACTCTAAACTATTCTAACCTATCCTATTTCCTAGCCTACCCTATTGTAACTTATTCTAAACTTACACTACTCTAAACTAGGTTTTTCTATTCTAAACTATCCTAAACTATTCTAAACTAATCTAAATTATTCTAACTTATTCTATCTATCCTACCCTATCCTAAACTAGTCTAATCTATCCTACCTATTCCTATTACTATTCTATACTTAACTATTTACACTACTCTACTTCTAATCTATTCTATGCTTAACTATTTACACTACTCTACTTCTAATCTATTCTACATTTAACTATGTACACTACTCTAATTACTAAACTAATCTATTACTTACCTATTCTACTATAACCTATGCTAATCTCTTTAGTTACCTTTCGATTTAAGAGTGTGCGGTATATAAATGTATACAAATCAATAAAATGGGTCCATTGAATAAATTCATAAAATATCCATTTTTATCAAACATATTTTGTGGTAAAATATAAAATAATGTTTTGTAATAGAGTATAATCTCAACTGGAGTGTATTTAATAATAATTAATACCTTAATAAATAATTTAAAATGTAAATAGATATATTTCGCTACTTTGAACAATAACTCTAGCTCATTTAATTACCAAAAAGCTTTATTTTTATTGTTATTGTTTACATGTCAATTTTAACTCTTTCAGTTGTCAGATTCTTCTAAATTTATAAATATTGACCACAGTCTTACCAGAAATTATCCTATTAGCCTTTTGTAGTCAGGGCCTTCTTGCTAAGACATTGACTTTTGTTGGCCATTTTGTGGAACTTCCTTCCTGGCCCAGTTTTTGCTTGGATTCTGATTGTGGCATGTGCCAAGATTTCAACTAGGATTTTCTAGGATTCATTCTTGTGCAAAAACCAGAGATTCCTTTAGTCCGATATACTGTTAATAATCTTTGTGATTCATACACCTAGTGGTGGATATAGTATCGGGCTAAAAGTGTGAATTTAATTATTAATCATCTAAAAGGTCACATACCATCAAGGGTGAGTTTTTCAAAATGAGTTATTATTTCACTTACCTATATTCCCAACAGCCTTCTGTATACATAATTGTTACAATCGTCAATGTTTTTCAGACCTCCTTGGTTCGCCCCTTTCATTCGTGCGAATCGTGCGTTCCTTCGCTCATACAGATTTGCAATTCTGCATACAGGCTTTTATTAGAGGAGTACTTCTGGGGACTGTGGGCAAGTTCTCTCCACCTCTCCATAAAGAATAGGGCTTCTCCCCGTCACCGTTTGCGTGCTAGCAACAAGGAACCGACAATTGGATAACCGAACACGAAATAATTTTCATAGCGGTCTACTTACAGACATCAAGAGGAAGCTACCTCACTGGACATCGTCCTTCATTGAGTGCACTTAATCCCAAGTAAGACGGTTCCTTTTTTTTCTAACCCTATATTTCGGAGGGCCCCCATCTACTAACGCGATTAGGTTGTTGAGACTCAGCCTACAACCAACATAATAGTTAAGTACCTTATTTAATAATCAATTTATTTTGTATATATACTTATTAATTGTAATATTCACCTACCGGTTTTTCCTTTGTAATACGAAGAGCTCTACGTACGTAACCGCACTTTTACCACCCACTTGGAGGGTTATATATTATAAGTGTATGTAAATTAAAGGTGAAAGTAGTTGTTGAAACGCCTTGTACATAATAATTTTCTTTTGTTCCTAATAATAGTAATAATAATCCACATTTCGTAATATTTGGTACGCATGGGAATTTTTTGGTTATAATTTTGACACCCGAGGTTATAAGAAAATAAAGGCCCGTTCACATTCCATCAATCAAATTCTTTTTCTCCTTTCTATTTACAGGAACCTACCCCCTGAGGATTACTAGTCAACCTGATTAGGGAGTTCGGTAATTTGGAACCCCTTAATCAGGACAGGCTATCCGTAATACTATACACCAAGGAAAAATTTAAAGTAGTATCCTATCCCGTGAAACGTTGTACATATGGCCACCCTAAATAGAAGAATCAGCAAATGAGTAAAAATTTTAATCTAAGGAAGAGCCTCTACCTCTCTGGAACCAACCTTTGAGTAATATGTTAAAATAAATTAAATTTCACTGACAATTATGCAACAAGTCAGGCCAATACATACTTTGTATTTGTATATATATAAAATAAGGATTTAAATTTACATAAATTTTTCTACATTTTTGTAACATGAGTTTTCCAATAATAGATTTATCATAATATCCATTTTTTTAAAATATTATTTATATTTTTAGTCGTTCATGTTCTTTGCGGCTGGCTTTGAAACATCATCAACAGCTTCCATGCTTATGCTTTACGAGATGAGTAAAAACCAGGATATTCAAAAAAGAGCCAGAATCGAAATTAATGATGTGTTTGCAAAATATGGAGACTTTACTTATGATGCCATACATGAAATGCCATATCTCTCTCAAGTATTTAATGGTACGATTTTGTAACAATTTAATTAAAAAAAAAAAATACAATATAATATAATATAGTCTATTTATGTTTCAGAAACCATGAGGAAATATCCAGCACTAACGACACTCAATAGGGTCTGTATTAAAGACTACCAATTTCCCGATACTAACGTAGTAATTGAAAAAGGAACTGGCATCATTTTACCGGTTCTAGGATATCATTTGGACCCAAACATATTCCCAGATCCACATAGATTTGATCCTGATAGATTTGAAGACAAAAATGTTAAATATGAAGGATATTTTCCATTTGGAGATGGACCCAGAAACTGTATAGGTTAGTATTAATATAAACAACAATAATAATTAATAATAATAATAGAGATTTCGAGTATTTGCAGTACTTTAACGTAAACGTGAACGTCAACGCAGAAATATAATGTTTACGTCAAAGTCCAAAATCTGAGTTGAAGTTGTTAAACGCATCGTGACATTTACGTGTCATAACAGATAATGACAATTAATATCAGGATTTCATCTTTCCCACGTTTACTCTGATCTTTCCCAATTATAAAGAGGTTATTTTGTTTGCGTTGTGTACATACACCAGAGTCCGTAAGCTTACGTATGTACGTAGACGTTTACGTGAAGGATATTTAATTTCGCATGCATATAGATGTCAATTTTCACGTATACGTTTACGTTCATAGCATCACTTCAACTCTCTATTAATAATAATGTGTCGCAGTCGCACAGTACGAGGGCGGTTTGACGGAAGAGTGACTTTTCAATGAAAACGTTACTTTACTCTTAAAATAAAAATTTTGTTTCTCAACATAATCTCTTTTAAAACTCTACACACTTAGCCCAACGAGTTTCCAATTTTTTCAATTAACCAAAAAATAATCTGTGCACAAAATACACGTTTCTCTACCATCGCCTCTTCATTTGTCTGAAATCGCTTACCACCAAAACATTTTTTTAAGTTTGGAAACAGAAAGTAATCGAAGAAAGCCAGATCAGATGAATATGGTGGATAAGACAATAAATTGTAACGTAGTTCGGCTAATTTTTCTGCAACAATAGCGAACTGGCGCATTGTCGTGATGGAACAAAACTCTTTTTTATATAAGTATTAAAATTAATCTGTTAGATTTACATAAAATTTTGATAGATGACATCAGAAACATGATAAATCTACCTATATAATAACTGTAGCGAAAGTGTTGGCAAGAGTCACTCATCTTTCAAATGTCCTCGTATATATATGACTTTTAGATTCTCTGTGGTATAGTCGTTACACACAACCAATTTGTTCAGGCGACCCTTTACTTTGACATGTCCAATGATTAGTCCTATTATTTTTTTAATTTGATTCTATTAATAGTGGGTAGTATTCATTTTCTCTTTTGGTCTTCGGTTGAACTTGTTTTGGGACATTATTCCAATAATTGTCGTGTTTTCACTAAATCTAGTCTTTTGTACTGTAATTTATATTTTTTCAGGGTTTACATCTGTTTCCGGTATTTTTTCTGATCCTCTTTTTGCAAGTTTGTCTTCTTCATTGCTATCAGTCCCTTGATGAATCTGAACTCAAACTAGTTTTACTTTATTTAATTCTACCATTGTTTCCAGTTTTTTGATACAATCCCATGGACGTCACTTTCTAACTCAATTTTTTCCTTAAGGTCACCTGGTTCTCTGAAACTATAGCATGGTTCGCTTGTTTTTGGTAGCGCTCCAATTGTTGGTTTGTGCACTTTGAACTATTGCACAAACTTTAGCTTGTAATATTAGGACAAGGTACCTTCCTTATCTTACATATTTTAATAAAACCAAAGTTAAACTGAAATAACTTGTCTTTATTTTAATCCAAAGTATGTGTAACGTTGCAAGTCTTACTGCCTTCGCACTGTCATTGAACCTTGCAGTCTATGTTGAAAAAACCATCCAATTAAACAAATTACTTCATATTGCTTAGGTGTCAATACAAGTAACCTACTTAATTCCATGGTTCTTCGTTAACAATAATTAATTACAATATTATGATATATATTTACAAATAATAAAGTTATACTTAAGCCTATTTTAAACTTAATAACTAAGGCCGGCATAACATTTTCCTCGAGGATTTTGAGCAAAAATTAATTTCCTAATTTACATTTTTTTCTATTTAAAATAAAATTTAACTCTATTTTTATGAACTAACTTCTTATTTCCTTCTATTTTTAAATCAAGATTTGGAGATTTTTTTTATATGGCCCCAAAAACAAAGGTTCCCTCTTATTCCCAGTTTCGTTTCTTACAAGTACTACCTTATCTCCCACCTTATAATTTATACAGGGTGGGGCATAATGGAGGGGCGTTTTTAGATCGGCTAGTAAAGGCGAATGGGTGGGGGTAGAGAGCTGCGGTTGATATCGTTGGATTCAGAAAGCTTATCATTTGTTATCCACAATGGTTATCTGGACAAGAGAGCATCGCGTGTTCGCAGTTGAGAAGTATTTAAAATCGGGCGAGTCCGTTATTGTTGTGCAGCGACTGTTTAAATGCATTCATGAGACGACCATGGCGAAAGGACACAGCACGTTTTCATGGTGATACGTCCGTCAGTAAAAAGAATAAAAAATTAGTAAAAATGTCATGTCAAAATAATATTTTGTAAAACGATAAAAAAAATAAAGTTCTAATTCTATCTAAAGGTCCTTCGAGTACTTAAAATAGTCTTTCACGTATTCATGTTGGTCAGATCGAGCCGGATGGACTTGGTAATGAAGAATATAGATTAATAATCTTGGAAGTCGTCGGCGTTGGGCAAGCTGAAGCTGGGTGAGTCCATTCCACGTTGTCGGCTTTCTAGTGATCGTCATATCGTTTAAAGTAGCATTTCTCGTATTTAAAGTTATTTCACGTATCTAAAGTATATTCTCGTATTTAAAGTTATTTCACGTATCTAAAGTATATTCTCGTATTTAAAGTTATTTCACGTATCTAAAGTTATTTCACGTATCTAAAGTAATTTCTCGTATCTAAAGTAATTTCTCGTATCTAAAGTAATTTCTCGTATTTAAAATAATTCCTCGTAGTTAAAGAAAGTAGTTATCGTATTTCACGTATTGATGTTGTAATATTCTCGTTTTAAAAGTATAATTTCTCGTTAGAATCTAAAGAATCCACGAAAGCCGAATAGTAAAAAGGGAGATTAAATCAAATTGATCCTCTTCTGGCTCTTAATATTTATTGTATAATTTCACGTATTGATAGGGGATTACACGTTATAAGACACGTAATTAATTAAGCTTCGATTACACGGGATAATGTCAAAAGAAGAGAAAATCGCTGACTGCAAGCACGAAAGGGGTATTTTTAAGGGAAAATTAACACGGTTTGAAGGTTTCTTGGCAGATAAAAAGAATCATAAAGCGTTCTCCAAATTAAGCAGGAGATTACAGGCAATAGAAAATGCGTACCAAGAGTACGAAGGTGTACAATCACAATTAGAATTTTTAGATAATAACGAAAAAGATTCAAACGAACGTGATGATATTGAAAACAGGTATTTTAAATGCACAGGTATCGTACTTGATTTGTTACAATCAAAAATTGAACAATCAGTTCCCTCTGTTGCGAATCCACAACCAATTCAATCAGTTTCTTCGACAGTTAAATTGCCAGACATTGAATTGCCAAAATTCTATGGTAGGTACTATAGAAACCTGGCAAAGTTTTTATGATGTTTTTAAGTCTTTAGTTCATGAAAGATCTGATTTAAGTAACACACAGAAGTTCATTTATCTTAAAGGTTGTTGTAAAAGTGCAGCGTTTCGAACAATAGAAGATATTGACACGACTGAAAGCAATTATGAGTTAGCGATTAATTTGTTAAAGAAAAAATTTGAAAATAAGAGACACATTGTAATTCACTATGCTAAATGGTTATTGTTTAACTTACCAGAAATTACAAAACAATGCGGCCAGTCACTTAGAAAATTATTAGACACGATTGATCATCACATTAATATTTTGAATAAAATGAATCAACAAACCGAACATTGGGACATTTTGTTAGTTTTAATAATTTTGAAAAAATTAGATACCGTTACAAAAAATGAATGGGACAATTTACAAGATGAAAATAAATTACCAAAATTAGAAGACCTAATAAATTTCTTGAATAAAAAATGCTTTAGATTAGAAGAGCGGAATATAGATAATGAAAAGAGCAACTCACAGCCACGTGGTAAAGATATTAGAATTAGGGATAACAATTTTCACAATTTTCAAACAGAATTAAAATCAACTTCAGTAACTTTAGTAACTCAGTCATCAGTTGAAAGCGATGATCTAAATAGATTCTCAAATTTATATAAATTACAAAGGGTTGTAGCTCGAATATTAAGGTTTAAAGAAATATCATTAAATAAAAAACGTTTTCAAAGTAATAATGTAACTTCAGATGAATTAAAATTAGCTTTAAAGCGGTTGATTCTTATGGCACAATCTCAGTATTTTTCAGATGAAATTAAGACGTTACGAGTTTCAAAACCAATATTAAGGACTAGTAAAATTTTGAAATTAAACCCGTTTCTCGATCAAGATGGTTTATTAAGAGTAGGTGGAAGATTAAAACATTCCAATTTAGATTATGAACATAAACATCCAATCATACTTCCCTATGAGCACTATTTAACTAAATTGTTAGTTCGTTCTGAACACATCCGAAATTTACATGCTGGAGCTCAATTATTGTTGTCAATTATACGTCTTAAATATTGGCCTCTGAAGGGTAAGATTTTGGTTAAACGCATAATTAAAGAATGTATTAATTGTTTTAAGGTGAATCCTAAACCTACTCCAATTTTAATGGGTGATCTTCCTAAGTGTAGAGTTACACCAGCGCGACCGTTCTCAAAGTGCGGGGTCGATTATGCTGGACCAATTTTAGTAAAAGAAGGTACTACTCGAAATAGTAAATTTGTCAAATCATATATCTGTATTTTCGTTTGCTTGGTTATTCGCGCAGTTCACATGGAATTGGTTATGGATTTGACAACAGAAGGTTTTTTAAATGCTTTAAAAAGATTTATTTCACGTCGCGGTAAACCTCTAGAAATCCATTCTGATAATGGCTCCAATTTTTTGGGAGCTCACAATAAATTTCTAGAGCTTCATAAACTACTTACTCACAAGGATCATAATTCTAAAGTATCAGATTACTTAGCCCAAGAGGAAATTAAATGGTTCTTTATACCTGCCAAGGCGCCACACATGGGAGGCATTTGGGAAGCAGCGGTAAAATCGTGTAAATTTCATCTAAGGCGCATTTTAGGTAATAGCTTTCTACGCTATGAGGAATTATATACTGTCCTTACTCAAATTGAAGCGTGTTTGAATTCGCGTCCTTTGACTCCTATCTCTGACGATCCCAATGATTTCGTTCCGTTAACACCCTCTCATTTTCTTCTTGGGGACTCACTCAAAGCTTTGCCCGAAGATGAAGCCATCGAAGAAAACATGAAACTATTATCTCGTTACAAAAGAATTCAACAACTTATTCAGCACTTTTGGAAACGCTGGTCTAGAGACTATCTCAGCCAACTTCAAAGTCGATATAAGTGGAACAAGTCCGGAACTGAAGTCAAGGAAGGTTTATTAGTAGTTTTAATAGAAGAAAATCAACCTCCGTTAAAATGGCCCACCGGCAGAATTGTTCAACTATTTCCAGGTGCCGATGGGATTACAAGAGTGGTGGCGATAAAGTTGTCAAATGGACATATTGTTAACCGTTCTCTTACAAAAATTTGTATTTTTCCATTGGACATTTAGTTTAGTTTTGTAATTTTATGTATGTTTATTTGAAAGCCAGGTCTTTCAAGGTGCCCGGCTATGTTTAAATGCATTCATGAGACGACCATGGCGAAAGGACACAGCACGTTTTCATGGTGATACGTCCGTCAGTAAGAAGAATAAAAAATTAGTAAAAATGTCATGTCAAAATAATATTTTGTAAAACGATAAAAAAAATAAAGTTCTAATTCTATCTAAAGGTCCTTCGAGTACTTAAAATAGTCTTTCACGTATTCAGCGACAACGCTTCAATATCGGTCGTAACGGTTCAGCTCCTAAACGTGACACAATCAACAGATGGGTACAGAATTTTAGAACGACGACATCAGCAATTAATCCTAAAGGTGGTCTCCGAAGTGTAAGGACAACAGCTTCCGTAGAAAGGGTGAGACAAACAGTTATTCAAAGTCCACATCGTTCTGTTCGAAAACGGGCTGCAGCAGTTCGAATAAGTAATCTAACACTTCGCAGGATTTTACACCAAGACCTTCCCTTTCACCCCTATAAGCTCATGGTAGAAACTGAACCGTTACGACCAATATTAAAGCGTTATCGCTGAGCAACAATAACGGACTCGCTCGATTTTAAATACTCCTCAACTGCCAACACGCGATGCTCTCTTGTCCAGATAACCATTGTGAATATCAAATGGTTAGCTTTCCTGAATTCGGCGATGTCAACCGCGGCTCTCTACCCCTACCCGTTCGCGTTTACTGGCCGATCTAAAAGCGCCCCTCCATTATGCCCCACCCTGTACTTTTAGTTTTCTTATTATATTTTTATTTCCGTTTGTTCTTTGACACTAATAAATTTTCATGAACATCTTTCCATGTTTACGTTTATATGTTTCCATGTTTGCCGATATTCTAATTCAGATAGATAATTTTTAAAAGTTTAAATAAGGAATTCTCTCAACGATGTCCCCAAGGCGCACATTAATCGAGATTCTCTTTTTACATAAAGAATGTGCTCTTCCAAATCGTAAATAAAATTATGTTTTCTATGTATATGTTGTTTATTTGTAACTTTCTTAAATTGTTCGCTACTAATTAATTCTAATTCTACCGCGTTTTTATTTGACTTTAACAATTCCACCAATCCAGGGTGATCAGATCTAGAAGAAGAATTATTATTCGCCATTTCTAACCCTGTTAATTGTAATTGTTTTTTAGTTTGAGACCTTGTTACTACATTTACTAACTCATTTTTGTAACCTATATTTTTTAGCTCTTTAGATGACATTTCTATCCTAGACAAAGCGTCTGCTTCCACATTGTCCATGCCATTAATATAATTAACCACAAAATCATATTTTTCTAATGGCCATCCCAAATAAATAAATAAGTGGGCGGTGATTTATCAAAACGACAAATCGTCTAGAATAAAGATATGGTCTGAAATGTTTTACGGACCACACAATAGCCAATAATTCTTTTTCAGTTGTTGCATAATTGACTTTTGCTTTATTTAGAGATTGACTTGCATCAGCTATAAGAGACCCATTACCATTAGAAATAATAGATCCAATTGCTTTTCCTAAAAAAATATTTTACTTGGAGAAAAATCTGGATATTGCAAAATTGGTGGGGATATTAACGCTTCTTCTAAGGTTTCAAATCTGGAGTCCACACAAAAGATACTCTTTTCCTTGTGAGTTTATTTTAAGGATTAGCGATATGTGAAAAGTTTTGAATATATTTTCTACAGTAGTCAGCAAATGCTACAAACTTCTTAGTTTCTACAGTTTTGGAATACTTTAATCTTTTTAGCATCTGGAAATACTCCCTTTGCTTAGATAACATGCCCCAAATACAACATTTCTTTTATTAAAAATTTGCATTTATTAGGGTAAAATTTCAAATTGACTTTTCGCAATCTCTGTTATACTTTTATTAAATTTTGATTGTGATTTGATAAATTATTTGTGAAAATACATAGGTATATCATCAAGATAAGTAAGCATTTAGTGTAATTTAAGCCTGACATCGCAATAATCATGACTCTAGAGAAAGCAGAAGGACATACTTTGAGTCCCATATGTAGTCTTGTCATCCTTATTGACCCCATTTTGTTGTAAAACTAGTAATAGGCCTACTTGATTCATCAAGATCAATTTGAAAATATCCTTGTGACAAATCAATATGTGAAAAATACATCGCCCTTGCTAAATAATTTAAGATATCTGTTATGAAAGGAAGAGAAAATTTGTCATCTTGTATTTCTCTATTAACTAATCTATAGTCTACACAAACCCTAAACCGTTAATTTTCGTTTAAATCTGCTTTTTTTTGAATTAAAATTGATGGACTAGACCTTTATGATGTAGTTTCTTCAATAATTTTTTCACGTAAAAGATTATTAATTTCCCTATTTTAATCCTCTTTTGGAGTATGTGGTAATCAATATTTTTTTACATAAACAGGTTTAACTGATTCTTTCAAGTGAATTTTTTGTTTATTAATGTTTGTTACTGACAATGGGTCGCTATCTAATAAAAAAACATCTAAATACTTTGCACACATTTTTTACAACGCGTGTTTTTCTTCGCTATTTAAATGTTCTATATGAATTAAATTAAGAAATTTTTCTGTACGATTAACTGATGCATTTTTTTTATCATAATTATCAAGTGCTTCAACTATTAGTTCAAAATTTTTTATATTAACTTCATTTTCTCTAACATTTAAAATTTTGATAGAAATCATAATATTTTTATCGGGTTTTACCACACTGCTTGCAATAAACACACCTTTATATATTTCATCAAGTAAAATTAAGCATTCGTCTTGTATTATAGTTTTATATTATTTTATTATTTTACACCGTAGTGTAACTTGTTTAGATTGCATCTTTAATAAAATTTTATTGTGCTTATGATAAAAAAAATACAACTGTCTCGTAATTATTAATAGTTGCGGCATGTTTCGTAAAAAAAATGGGTGTAGCCCGTCTCGGCACACTTAATTACGGTCAATTTTATGACACATTGCCGGTCCTTTTGTAATGACCCATCTCGGCACACAGAATAATGCTGCAGCCCACACATAGACCCATTAACGCCTATTTTAACTTCTTCATTCATTTTCAATCCAACAAAATAACGAAGCGGCTTATGTTAATGAAGTTTTGCTAACAATTTATTTAATATATCTCAATTTTACGATGTTGCAATGTCAAGTAACCGAGATGGCCATAAATGTTTTAACTCATGTCTCTAGTTTTGCTTATACACTATATGCAAGAAGTCGCAGTACCAAATTTGTATAATAAATACTTATTAAATATGTTTTCTATTTCAGGAGCAAGGTTAGGAATTTTGCAGGTGAAGTTAGGTGTGGCGGAAATAATTAGGAATTATGAGGTCTCTCTTAGTCCAAAAGTTGCAGAACCATTGGAGTATGATCGATTTACTTTTGCTACAAAGTTCACGGAAATAATCTTACTACGATTAAAGAAAATCAATTATTAGTGTTTATTTCAAGTAATTGGAACTATACGCGTATTTTGGTATAAATCGTATATTTTATACTGTTATATCAATAATAATTTTAATATATTTCCCGGCAACCAATTTTACTATATTGTACAACATAAGTTTTAATATAATAAATGTATTTAAAAACTTATATTGTTTATTTTTCTGGTATTTTAATTTCTAGTTGCCTGTATGAAATTAAAAATTTCACTTTAAGAAAGATCATTCGTATATCTTCCATGACGCAACGAATTTTTTTTTTGATCACTCAATGTATTTATTATCGACTTTTTTGCATATTTTGCATATTTTGCATAGTTTATGTTGCACTGAGGAGAAATTTAGTTTATGCCGAAATTATCGTAAGTTAGTAATAAATTCTTTAATAATTACTGAAATTTTCACAATAATATACTCGTAATTATTAATAGATGTAGCATAAAATGGAGTTTTTCTCTAAAAAATAATTTATTACATTATATATATTAGATATTAACAAATGGCGGGTAGAATGATGAATGTACAAAAACTTTGAATTGAAGAAAATTGAATTCTTAAATTTCGAGCATTGTCACATGGAAGGTGTAAATTATAATCTTGACTCAGTATTTGCAGCAGTGTTAAAATAATTAACGACAAAAGTAGTGGTTCAAAAAAAAATATTTTGCTTTTGATTTTTGAATTTTCTCATATATACACCTATTTTAGACGGAAAGAACGATGAATGTGCATAATATTTAAACTAAATAAAATAAAATTTTTATATTTAGTGTGTGTCATGGAAAGAGAAAAAAAATATATTCGGCATTTATTATTTGCGGTCTAAAAAAAGTTCATATATAAAAGTTATGCCCTGCAGTACTTTCCTGTCTTCTAGAGATATTAAAGATAATTTACCCAATATAACAGCATTGTCAATTCCCCTTTCCGGATAAATCCCATCAATTTTAAATGCAACGTATTTCATAAATCTGCGATAAATAGATTTAATAAGTAACTTATGGGAGATATACATGGGTGACCATATCAGTGCTGCATATTCAAGACGTGATCTTACAACTGAGTTGAATAATACAATTAGACAGTCTGAAATCCTTACAACTTCTTTAGCTGTGGATGTAGTGTTAAATAAATTAGACAAAAAACTTTTTATCAAATTCGACTCCCAAATCCTTTATTGTCTTCATTTCCTCAAGTGGTTTATTCTGTATTAAGTAGTCAAACTGGATGTTATTCAAGAGTTTGTTTGAAAATCTCCTGAACTTGCATTTTTGAATGTTAAGAGGCAATTTATTAATAATACACCAATTATTTAATTTATTTAAATCATTTTGAAAGTGTATACAATCGTCTTGTGAATTTATGGTACAAATAAACTTAGAATCATCGACAAATATTAAATATTCCTTCTTAAACTCTTTGGCTATGTCATTATTAATAAGTGAAAATAATAATGGAGCCAGATTGCTTTCTTGAGGCGCCCCACTGGTAGCAACAAAAAAGCTTTATTTGTGACCGTTATATTCAATATAAAGTGAGCGAGCAGTTAAATATGACTTAAAAAAGTCGAGGACATGGGAATCAAAACCAAGATTATATATCTGTATTTGTAACGTGTGGAGGGTGGGTTACTCCCACGGCACTAAGGCCTCATTAGGCCCATTGTGCATCCTCCTGAGACGACAGGCACCTATTAGCTCGTTAGTTCGCCTACAGATTTAATGTAGTTGACAACGTCGCCAAGAGGTGCTTCTCTTATATCGGCCGGTGTTGCCCGATACTTGCCCAACACAAATCTTCTAATAAATGAGAGCGTCGAGCAATCGTAAAGCATATACTCGATGGTTTCATATTCTTGTTCGCGCCCTCTGCAGAATGCGGATTCGGACAGCCCCATGATATGGAGATGCTTCCGTACTTGGCAATGACCAGTCAGAATGCCTGTGACCAGACGCAGATTCTGTCGAGTCATAGTCAAGTATTTATTTGCTGCAGTGTTGTCAGGATAACTTAGGAGCTTCCTGGCAACCCTGGAGTTTATTTTTTCATCCCATCTTTCCTTGAATTTCACAAGGGAATGTTCTATAATTAGGTCTGTCACTACCAAGGGCCAGGTACAAAAAGTATTTGGTTGGCTGCTTCCTAGACTAGTTAATCAGCAAGACGGTTACCTTTTGATGTGGTGTGACCTTTGATACATCTTAAGGTGACCACATTGTTGATAGATACTTCGGCCAAAGCTTCCTGACATTCTAGTACTAACCCTGAATAAATTCGTGGTTTGTTTAGGGTGAGTAGTGCTTGTCTGCTATCTGTATAAATAAGCATGTTCCTTTTAGTGATATTGTTTCTGGTTATTTATTTTTCTGCTATAAGAATCTCCGTTAACTCTGTTTAAACTACAGTGGCACTATTGCTCACAGGCTATTTTATGTTTAGGTTTAGAATTCTGGAGTATATTTCACATCCTTAGCCTTCTTTTGTTTTAGAACCGTCGGTGTAGATATGAATCGTACCTGCCACTTCTGACTTTTCTATTTGTTCTATTATAATTTTTTATGGCTAATGGAAGATATATCTCGGTGAAAAGAAGTCCATGTTCGCTTAAAACAGTGGGAGCGTCGAGCGCCTCCTGACAAAAGTGACATCTCGCCTCACCAGATCCTAAATCAGGTTCTATTCCAACCGTGCGGAGGCATGTCATTGTCGTCAGAGAAACCTCCTTGATGTAAATATCAAGGGGATTAAGACTAAGAATGACTTCCGTCGCTCTGGTTCCGCTTCTTGCGGTTCGGCGGCATTGTTTATAAGTAGTGTATGCTCTTTTAACTGTTTTCTAAATGCGAGTTCCATGGTTACTTGCTGTCAAAGGTGAGACCTAGGTACTTCACCTCTGTCGCAAAGTTTAGTTTTGTGTTTAGGAGTTCTGGAGGTTTTAATTCCATTTTTATCCTTTTTTGTATAAAAAGGACCATTTCTGTTTTCTTAGGATTGATAGACAGTGAATGGTCCTTGCACCACTGTTCTATAATTTTTAGAGCTACTTGCATTCTTTCGCAGAGTATGTTCTTAAAATTCCCTATTTGCAGAATGACCAGATTATCTGCATATGCGATTGTGTAGTGACTGTCATTATTAAGGCCGCTAAAGAGGGTGTCGAGGACCATATTCTACAGTAGAGGTGATAGCACCCCTCCAAGCCTCTTTTATTCACATCTTCTACACTTATGTTTACAGCTCGCTTTGAGAGCATGTTATGTATCCACCCACTAACCATTTGTGGAACATTCCTGTTGGATAGTGAGTGTATAATCTTTGGCGAAGGTGGTTTTATTAAAAGCATTTTCTATGTCTATGAAAACACCCAAGGCGGACTCCTTATTGTCCAGGGATCTTTCTATCTGGCCAGCAATTAGATGAAGGGCTGAATCAGTAGATCTGCCTGGGGTGTATGCATGTTTGTTTGGGTGTAGTGGGGATGCTGTAATCACCACATCCCTTATGTACCTTTCGCATAGCCTTTCCAATGCCTTCATGGAAAACGATGTCAGACTAATTGGTCAGTACGTTTTTGGGACAGTGTAATACATCCTTCCAGGTTTGGGTATAAATACGACTTTTACCTCCCTCCATTTTTTGGGGATATACCTCAGAGCCAACGAGGATCTAAATATACCCACCAAGTGCGGTGTGAGTTCTTCCAGACCCCACTGAAGTAGGGCTGGACAGATACCGTCAGGTCCTGGCGATTTAAATGAAGAGAAGCTGGATATTGCCCATCTAATTTTTTATCGTCTACAATGTGTTTGGCAGTTTGCTTATCATAGACAGATGAATTGTATTCTTTCTCTGCCCAGTCGGCCACTTTGACCGAGTATGGGAAGTGTGTTGACAGCAGAAGTTTGATGCTATCTTCGAGGTTGGCAATTTTTGTGCCATCCTCTTTGATTAGCGCACCAATGCTTTAGTGTGGATCCTTTAAGAGAGCTTTTTAAAGCCTCGCGGCCTGCGAGAAATCTTCGGTTTCTTCACAGTAGGATCTCTACGCATCTCTCTGTTTTTGTCTGATGATTTTTTTGAATTCTCTGAAGTTATAAGGGGAATATTTACTATTACTTAAAGATCGGTGTTAGTTGGTAACCTCCTAAATTTTGTATATTATTATTTAGAATTTAGAAAACCGTTACAAAAAGGTTATAGTGTTCTCTTAGAGCTTAGAGAAGAAGACCACTTTGGCTAGCTGTCGGCACAAAAGGTGTGGGTCATAAAATAATTAATATTACTGATTATCCTTAAAGTTTAAGTCAATAAAACGCAAGAGTCGGTATTATGGCATTTACCACTTTTGAAAAATACGAGTTATTATAAAATTTCACTATTGAATTATCTAAAAGGTAGATAGGTATACATTTACCTAGAGCACTTTTGAAACTAACCTACCTAAATCAGAGACTACCAAAAATAGGATCTCTATGGTTTTACTACCGATATGATACAAAATGACAAGGAAAATACTTAAGTTAAAGAGGAATTCTCTGAATTTCAAATTATTGAAGTAAAAGAAACAATTAATATTACCCCGTGATCACTAAGGCTTACAGCAGGTTAAGGTTAAGCACAATTAATACAGTTACAGAATTATTCTTATAAATAAAATTTAAATGATAAATCGGAATATAAATTACTAGTATCACTGAAGTTATTGGACTAAAGGTCTTTCATACCTTGGTTTGCAGATTTTCAGATAAGTGGTTTCTGGTAGAAATCTATCAAACGATGAAACTCTCCACCACTGGTGTTGGTTACGATTACCCCGGACAGGAAACTTTCTTAAAACTTGCAGGACTACAGGACATCAAATGAACAGAACTGGACTAAGTAATTACAGCGCATCACCCAGATGCGTCTGGAATATCCGGAACACTGGAACAGCGGCTGCGGACAGAATCCAACGGGGTCGTTATCAACAACCCTCTGGAGGTCTGATACAGGTAGTCGGTGGTGCGGGCCGTTAG